CCTTTCATCTTCCCTGTGCCAGGACTTGCTGAATGACTTGGTCCATGTGTTAGCATTAGTAGAACAGTTTATGGCCGAGTTGAAACCTGTGCTTCTGTCTTTGTATGCGACTCGGGGGGTTGCTGCCCTTTTCTTTGAGAAAGACTTGAGGTTATTTTTAGCTCCAATTTCCCCCACTGGTAGTAATATACTGATTTGTCTTTAGGCAAGACTGGACAGAGAATAGAAATGCAATGAACAGATCCTATTTACACAGGAAAAAGGTCCCTCCTGGTTTCTAGTGATTCTCAGGCTAAAATTTTAGTCTCGTGTTCCTTAGGAAAGTGTATATCTCAGGCTAAAATTTTAAGTCTCGTGTTCCTTAGGAAAGTGTATAATCTTAAAAAGGGCTCAATGTCATAAAATCATTTTCAAGCTGGGACATGAACTCCGGTTTTTCCTTGCTGCTTTCCACCTTTTTAAGGGGATTTTAGAAACAGATTTTCTAATATTTTGTTAAATTATACATAAAGTTCTTCAGAATCATTCACACTATGTGATCATTATGACAGAACTGTCATGATGGTATATTGTCATCCTAATAGATCCCTGAAGTATTAAGGATATTTCTTCCCTCACCCCCACCCCTAATCTGGTGATTTTCATTTGTTCTTGTCACAGTGGTCTTGGGGAGCAGGAACGTCAGCCTTTCCTGAGCACAGCTTGTGAGATGAGACGGATGGCATCAGACCACTGGCTTAATAGGGTCCCAGGGGATCTGCATCCACAGTGAGTGAGAAGCACTGACCAGTGTCACACCCTTGGGAAATGTCACCTTTTAAAAGCATCTGAGGTCTCATGGACACACAGTATGACAGCTGTTTATCAGGCTGTTATCCAGCCCTGGAATTACATTGGGTTGTTGTTCTCAAAGCTCCAAGTTAGAATCACTATCACCTGGAAACTTCCTTAAAATGCCAATTCCTAGCTCTACACATTGTCTACTGAACAGGATCTTGGGTGGGATCCAAGAATTTATTTTTTAAATTTTGGATACACCACATGGCTTATTGGGATTTCAGGTCACTGACCAGGGCATGGCAGTGAAGGCACTGATTGGCAAGCCCTAGACCAAGGAGCTCTACCCTGCCTGCCGCCCCCTTTAAAAATTCAGTGTTTTACTTTTAAAAACTCTTCACGGATCATCAGTTATAATTTATAATTGCCCTTTGAAAATAGGTTTACAGAGAATTACTTTATACTTTGGGTGTTTTGTTGGCATTAAATTTTCAAAGTGTTTTGGTATGTAGTTTCCTTACTTAAAAAAATATGGGTAAGAAAAAAAACCCTATGTACATAGGCCAACTGTGCTGTGATGCTGAAGATACGGTTTTATATGGCCAATCTACTGCTTTTCATTGCAGACTTTATTTTCTGGTCAGTGAAAAGAAACTTCATGCAAGGAAAACACTAACTTTGACAGTTAAATAAAGTGGAAGATGTATATTTAATTCTAGAAGGAAGAAGAAGGAAGTGTCTTATTTTTCCCTGTCAGAAATCTTAGAACAGACTGCTGGGCCGCACTCTGTGACTTAAAGGCCCAAGAATTTTCATTTCTTAACAAGGTGGTGCTGCTCTGGGCTAGGGATCTTGTTTTCCAAACTCTTAAGGGTACTTAATCTCTATATACGAGTTCACAACAAAATACTAGTTATAGAAAGTTTTATAGGTCAAATATATGACTTCAGGTCTTGAATTCTATCCTAGCAAATTATTTGTAACAGAAACTTGTTTTTTCTTTAGAAAAATATATACTATTACTTACTATTTTCTAACAATGAATTTACCTTTTTCCCCCCAGGTCAAATCATTCTGTGGAAGAAATGAATAACAAGGGAGAAATGAACCAGAAGAATCTTGTTTTATTTTTCAATTTATTACCACTCCATTATAAACAACCTGTGGATAGATGAGCAGTCATGACACTTTATCCAGGTTTGTTTTCCTCAATTGTATACCTTCCCCTGGTACACTGACGGACTACCACAGACCCATCCCGTGGAACTAGAAATTGTAGGTTAGTCCCCATCACAAAGGAACTACTTATAAATTTGTCTTTGTTCAAGTGAGAAGAATCCTGTTTTTACCAACATGTATCTTGGCCCAAGGGAAGCAAGTGGTGAGACATGAATCAAGACAGAGACCATGGTAGAGCTTCAGCTTTCTCCACAAAAACTGATGGCAGACAGGAGGGAGGGTGGTTCTTGGGGAACTCAGGGTGAGTATGTCTTGAGTGAATTGTGGACCTCACCAATGTTATTACCATTTTCCAGCCCATGAGTAAATCTCTTCTGTACCAGTTGGGAGAAGTCAGGCCTGGAAACGCCAGGTTTGGCTGGAGAAGAGCTTCATCACCTACAGGTCGGCAGAGGGAAGTGGTGTGGACGCCCTCAGTGGCCTGAGCTTACCTAGCAATGTTTTTCAAAGTACAGATTTTACTATATTCATGAATTTTCTAAATTCTCAAAGACTTTAAAAATTATATATTTGGCCATGTGGGACCTTAATTCCCTGACTGGGGATTGAACCTGCACCCCCTGCATTGGAAGCATGGAGTCTTAACCACTGGACTGCCAGGCAAGTCTCAAATTTTTCTGAATTCTTACTTTATAAATCACTTTTTGTTATTATTTGTGTCCTACTGTTGTTATAAGGCATTAATCATAAAACGCTCTAAAGTCTGTCAGCTTTCTGTATGCTAAAGTCTTACTACTAAATAAACTAGTAAATTCTCATGTGACAACTCTGGAAGTTTAACAGTTCCAAGTAGAATTTTAAAAGTAGCACTTGAGATTCAAATGCAAACTTCCTGACATTCCACTGAAGAAATTCTAGGAGTTCAGATGAGAATGTTGACAGTAACTCCCCATCCAACTATACTTCAGCATTTATTCGTAGGTATGTTAGGTACTTCTCTTTGGTGCTGCATACCGTTAACAAGGATGTATATAACAAGGATGTATATAATGTGCTTTCTTTTGCAGCCACATTCATGAGTTGACCAGGTCTCTGGTAAGTTAAGTTGACAACCCAATTCTGCATTATGTCCGTACCTCAGTATGCACACTGGAAAGTAGTAATTGCTGAGGGGTCATGGGTTTTAGAGTTAGGAGAAAACTGAAGAAGAAAAATGTGTACTAATTGGTCTTCAGTGAGTCTGGATAATGAGCAGTGCAATCCCGTTTGTAGCTGAGATCTCCTGTGGCCCTAGGATGAAGCTCAGTTGTAGTTATGGGGTTTGAGATGGCTTTGGTTTCTACTCATAGTAGCAGCAGCAAATCTGCAAACCTTTGATAAGGTACTGCTTGAGAATTGGGTTTTTCAGAGCAATTATTATACACACATATGCCAGTATTAAACTGAAGGATGTGATCTGATCAGCTGCCTTGTCAGTTGGGAGGTTCAAGACCTCATCATCCTTAAGCCACAAGGGTCAGAATTTCCCCACCCAAGGGCACATGTGCTTAGGTTCACCTGCTACAGAGAGAAGTGAGTTTAGATGAAAGCAACTATATTAACCTGCATGGCTCTATAAGTGGTTATATTCCCAGTGCACTTGCACTTGTAAAGGTGTGCTCTAAGATAACAGGAATGTTCTTTAAAAACTCCTCTTACAATCCTGGACAAAGTGCACTGCTGCTGACACAAATCTTGCAGCTGTGAAGTCAGATGCAGAGGAGTATAGGATCCAATACAGTTGAAGTCTAACGCAGGTATTGGTATTGCTAAACCAAACACATTTCACATCACCTTTTTGCTGAAGTCCTGAGACTTGAGATAGAAAATAGAAAACATTGTATTTTATTGAGGACATTGTAGGAAAAGTCAGTTTAACCCTGAAATGTCTATACAGTGTATGTGGTTTGCTCTAACTATCCACAGGTTCTGTCTGCATCTAGGGCACAAAAAAGTTCCCCAAAAGCACACCAGGAACCCCCTACATAGAATTAATATTAATACCTAGCATTTACTTTGTTTTAGGTACTGTTAGTCCAGAGATGATTAAAAGTAAAAGGTGGGACTCAAAGGGGTTAAATGCAGATACATCATTTCATATAAAGGACTTGAGCATCGGGATTCTGAAACCCAGTCCCCTCGGGATGCTGAGAGAGGACATATGTGACATTTCTGAAAATTTTTCATTAAAATTTAACTCAATTATAAAACCAATCAAACTTAATGATTTTATACATTTCTATAATCCGGACACCTTGGTTTATTAGTCTGTCAAATATTTCTTGAAAGAATGGAAGCATTAGACCTGTGGGAAGTCACTTGACAGGAGGCACAGTGGGGCTGGCCTTCCCAGCATTCAGAATAAGCACAGACTATCTGATGACTTGGGTTCACGAACAAGGATACAGTTCACATTATTATCACCTTTTATGCCTCAGTTTGTTTTTTTCTGCTATATCTCAGATTCTGGTTTATTTTCTTTGCAAACAATAAAGGGTAACTGCAGATATACAAAAGCTCTCACTCACTCAGGATCTATGTCAACAGCTTGTTGGAAAGGTCAAACCTTCCTTCAGTCTTCTTTACATTTGCCCTACTACAAACTCACACCTTATCTTAGTGCCTGGGTAACTTAATGTAACATTCCTGCTGGGCTTTTTTAACACAAAAATTCAGTAGAGCTAGTAAAAAAATTTTCAAGTTAAAAAAAAAAAAGTTTTAATTTTCTTAAATAATCCTCGTATGTACCATTCCACATTGTGGAAAACCATAGTCTGGACACAACATTGAGATTTCAGAACACTTGCACAAATACTTACATCTGTGTTTTATGTTAGACCCACTGTATCCCATCTTAACACACTGTAACAGATGACTGGCCTTCAGTGCAAGAGGCTTACAGAAGAAACTTTAAATTTGGAAATGTTAGCTGTGCCAGAATTCCAAACTGCTTCACAGAGTATTTAGAAACAGGTCTTAAGAGTAACTCTTCCAATTCTTTCTGGTCACTGTAGCTGTACTCTGTATGCACCTATAAGCAACTTAACCTGTTGAAAGAAAAAAAAAGCATATGTTTCTAGTTTCCCTTAGAAACTAAACATACATTTCTCTCCCCTTAGAAGAAAGGGGAAAAAACCCTGTCTCTTTGGCAGGATTCTCAAATTGGTTATCAGTGTAGTGGCTAGATTACCATTATTTTAATTAAAGATCCAAGTACTTGTAATTGAATTTTTAGGTTACTCCTTTTACTCCTTTATTCAGTCTAGCTAATGATCATACATGTGGAAATTAAATATCAAAATACAGAACATTCCCTATGGCTATGTACCATGGACATCAGAGGGTTGAGCCCATCTCAGATCCAGGCAGGAACACAACAGTCCTGAAAACTTGAAGAAACACCCAAGCAGTGACACTAGATTCAAGGAAAGGATTCTCACCTTAGCAGAAGGTGCTTCCGTCAGCCTTATGAACATTTTATTGAGGCCTGCCACAGGGCTGAATGAGTAAACAAAATGACTGTCCTGGGGAAGACAGCAAACCAAAGATGAGCATTTTTGCAGACAGCCATCTCTAGAAACAGTCAGATTCCAGACATCTTTAGACTCTCATTAGAAATACACACATTTTGTTTGTATTTCTTTAGGCAACATGCTGTGATTACTTTTCCCTTGACTTAGATATCTAACTTCATCTGGAAAAGCTATTAGAGATAAATCATTAATATGTATCTGGCCATATATATATAGCGTGAGTATTAAAAATCTTCATAACCAGTTAATTTTAATTCAGCCTAAGGACTTTTGTATATGGCAAAGGTAACAACAAAGATTCTTCAAGGGCATTTTTAATTTAAAAAAATTATAGTAAAATGGTCACTATATAAAAATCAAAATTATACTAAGATAACCTAAAAAACGATGCATTAAAACTAAACAAATACAAGCAGCACAGTGTTTGCATTGGGATTTTTTGAAACATCAACAGCATGCTTTTCTTTTTGAATTTTAAGTGAACATTTGTTAATTATAATGCATTTAAAGGTATATTTAAAATTAGTTTCTAGACCATAAGAATTTTAAAACAATTTATGATTATTCGGTTATTGCCATTTCCAAAAACTGCAATTAACAGAAGAATTTATAGGTCATCTCTGCTTTTGATTAGAAGAATGTACTCATCAGTAATGAACTACAGAGACTTACCAGAAAAACAGGAAGTTGAAATTTATCATTTAAAACAACAGCTTGTACACTACATGGTCCACAGAGGCGAGCAATGACCTCTTTACCCAGAAAGTTTGCATGGAAGATAAACAGCAGGATGCCAGAGCCTGAATTGAGGAGATGTAAATAGATATTTTAATTTCCATCCAAAGACAGCACTTCGCAGAGCTTGAGGGCATCATGAGAGCCTGAGTGCACAGGCCATCCACATGGGAATCCTGTTAGAAAACATGTTCCTGCCAACCTGAGTGACTAGGATCCAGGGACGGAGTGGTCCTTAATCCTAGTCTGACAGACACATACTTGATCCAAACAAAGAGTATGACCAAGGGACTCTAATCAATTTGCTGGCATTTGTTTCATGGTTATCAATATAAATTGTTTTCCTTCAGTTTTAAGAGCTACACGCCCCTCAAGATACCAAGGTCAATGTCTGTCAAACTTCAGTACTTTTAAAGGTGTTGGCTGAAAGTCCTGGTCTGGCTGGGGTTTTGAGAGCATACTGAGGAGACCATATACTGAGTCTCAAGAGTGAGAATAGCTAGGTATCTTTGGTAATATTTCAGTTGAGTAGAAAACATTGTTAGTGGCTGCAGACATTGTGCATGTGCAGAGAAAGCCAGGTGTGACCCAGGGCTGTCCAGCTGCACCAGAGCACTGGTATGGATGCCCAGCCAAATCCACAGTTGACTAATGACTAAGATGTTAGAAATGACTGGCTTTGATTGGTAGAGCTGTAGGTTAAGTTTCCATTAACGTATTTAAACAAAACATGTCAAACCAGTTGATCCTAAAGGAAATCAACCCTGAGTATGTATTAGAAGGACTGATGCTGAAGCTCAAATTGTTTGGACACCAGATGTGAAGAGAAGACTCACTGGAAAAGAACCCTGATGCTAGGAAAGACTGAAGGCAGGCGGAGGCGGCAGCAGAGGATGAGATGGCATCACTGACTCCATGGACTTGAGTTTGAGCAAACAGTGGGAGATAGAGGAAGACAGAGGAGTGTGGCATGCTGCAGTCCATGTGGTTGCAGAGTTGGAACACAACTGAGCAACTGAACAAGAACAAACAAAAGCCAGAACACCGAACCCAATTCCCACCTTTCAGGTCAAGAGAGTGCTGTCTCTACTCCATATACTTGGCACCCATGGCCATGGTCTCACCTACCAAGTAGCTGTTAAGCATAAACTCATAGGAGGCAGGACTGAAATTCTCATCTCTACTAATCAACTTTACAATGGGGCAACACGTTTTCTTTATTCAAGGGCAAGACTCAGGGATAATAAAATTCAAGAAAAATATTGATTCTGGGCTTACCATGTTGAAAGCTAGATTTCAGTAAATTTTAATAAAAAGTATTATAATTATTAAGACCCAGGTTCTATACTTCTAAAACAAGTGTAAAGACTGCTATGTAGACTCCTCAGGGTCAGCTACGATGGTATCGGCTGCATTTTGTTCTTAACCTATTTTATATAATTAGTATACATGATGGAGTTTGTTTCAGGTTTCCTTTGAAGAAGAGGTTATTAATGTTTCTAATGTCACATTTCAAAGTGGGAGAAAAACAAGGCTTACCTTCTGGTATAGTCTGTGGGGGTCTGTAATTGAAATCCATTGAGAAATCTGGCCCCTCACAGAGGCGATGGCATGCTATTGGGAAGACTGGCTCCAGTAGTGCAAGACGTGCTTCAAAGTAATCCTTGATAGTTTCTTCAGCGACTCTCGAAAGTCTAATAAAAAAGCAGAGTAAAAGCTGTTCATGTAGGAAAGAATCTTGAGGCACAGAACAATCAGACGAGTGAAGCCTCCCCAGAGCCAGCCTGAAAAACTGCTGAAAAACTCCTTGCTTTTTGTTCTGAGCACTCCTATAGGACAAGGCACACATCTGCCTGTCCTAGATGTCCTCTCATTCCCCACCCACCGAGTCTTATGCGTTGTGCCAGGCACACAGTTGGAACTCAACACATACTCGTCAAATGAGTGCATGAATGATCAAGGAGAATTCTGCTAGAAAATAAAGCCAAGAATTGTCACACACAGTCGTGTTATAGTACTTGGTTTAGAAAGCAGTCAAAATGATTGGTGCTAATTCAGAAAGTATTTTGAGACTATCCGGTAGGTAAAGTGTAACTGACCTGACCCAAACACCTCCTGCCACCTTCCAACAGATGCTCTGCTTTAAGGAGCATAAAATCCCCAAAACTATTTAGTCACAGACGTGAAACAAAGTCCAGCATGCCTGGACCCCCTCAGCTGTGGGCAAAGCAGGCATACTAGTCTCCTTACTTGGTGGCCACCTGTAACCAATACCTGGCTGCTGCTAAGGCTCTCAGTGATGGCAGCCCAGGTGGCCAGAAACACCCACTTTGGCCTTTGTCTCTTGTCTGAAATTTGCCTATATCTGGAAGAGAGAATAACCATCTTTCAGGCGTGAAGATCCAAGTCCTATCTTACCCTTGGTGGGCGAGTATGAGAGGGGCTCTGCTACCTGACTGAAGCACCTCACCTACAACAGTGCTGCTCCTGAAGCTCCTGTTACATGTGAGCAAGAGAAGTAATAAAAAGCTACTAAATTACCTAATGAACTTCCAATAACATCTAATGATTTTGAATTCATTTGAAAATGCATGAACTTGAATAGCTAAACTGTGATAATTTCCAGACAATGTAATAACCATTCAGCACTAAAAAGAAACAAGTTTATCAGGCTACGTGAAGACAGGAAGACAACATGAATGCTTATCACAAAGATGCAAACCTGGAAAAGGGCATATACTGTATGAGTCCAACTAGCAGTAAAAACATCAGTGGTCTCCAGGGTTTGGGCAAGTTGAACAGGTGGAGCACAGCATGTTTAGGGTGGTGAGATGAGTGTGTGACAGGGCAATGGTGGGTACACGTCATCACACATCTGCCCAAAAACACAGGATTTGTGACACCAAGTGGAACCTCGGGGGGCTCCAGGTCAGGAGGATGTGTGGGTCAGCCACAATGGTGGGTCCCCATCACTGGGGGTCCATCAACTGTAACAGCCTCACTGCCCAGGGTAGGACAATGCATGTAGGAAATCGCTACTTTCTGTTCAACTTCGCTCAGAAGGTAAAAACTGCTCTCAAAAACTACCTTTCTTAGAAACAATGAAGTTTAAATGGTTTTAATGTTTGGAAGCCAAATTGAGTGTAATTAAGATTTTAAGATGATACTCCTAGATAGAACGGCGTTAAGTTTGAAGGTTTCTAACTCCTCAATAACTTGCAGACTTAGTCCACCACTTTTAAAATTCATTTTCTTAGACCAGAAACCCATCATGACTTGTACTTGACTTATCTTTTTCTGAGCAGTTACATACACACTGTCCATTACGTGTCCCAACAGGGCACACTCCTCCCACACTTACGTCTCTAAGTGGCTCTTCAGCAGGTCATACACCAGCACGTTGTTGCACTGCTTTGCAAAATGCAGTGCACTGTTCTGGTGCTTTGACAGAATGTTGCAGTCAGCTCCACATTCAATGACCAGCCGGACGATGTCTGAGTTTCCTCTTTTACAAGCCTGTGTCAGGAATAAAGGAGTAAAAACAAATCAACCGTGATCAGTGTCTGTTCCTCTCAGCTGAGAGTTCTCCATAGAGAAGGACCCCTGGGGTTGGAAACCGGCTTGGAAGTAGACCTCCTGTGGTCCTCCTGCAACTGTCCCTCCTGCTTCTCTGCCATTTCTCTCCCAATTCGACTTTCTAGCCTGCCACTCTCCTGAGCTTAAGATTCACATTTTAAAACACCTGAGCTTTTACATTATGTATAAAAATCCTACCACAAGTCTGCAAACCAATCCATGCCATCCACTGTAATGGGGAATGTTACACAGCAGCATCAAAGTCCAGCCCCTATTCTGATTAAACACAGCAGCATCAAAGTCCAGCCTCTATTCTGATTAAGTCTTTCTCGAGGTTAAACTTTTTGAAGGCTCCCAGCTGCTATCTAGATGAACTCCTACTTCCTTGGCACAGATGTAGAGTTTTGTGCACCCCTATTCCACACACACCCTTTATGCTCCTGTTTAAATATCTGCTTAGAATGTGCCTGGTGATTTCTCAATAAGTTTTAAATTCATGCTTTCAGCTGCCACCAATGCTGTAAACACACTTCAATAGGATCACATAAAGGAAAATTAAAATTCAAAAGGAGGGTGACTGAACAAAATAAACATTTCTATGAACCAAAAATGAAACAGGAACACCAGCAGCAAACAAGTTTTAACCCCCAAGTGTGGAAGAAGAACGACAAAAGTCCAGCACAGCCTCAGGGTCCTGCCCACGGTGAACGAGGGGTCTGACCATCTGCCTGACTCAGGAAAGGTCAGAAGAGGAACCACAGCCACCAGCCCTTGGTGAGCACTCCCTTCATGGATGAGGCAGGAGCCACAGCCTCCACACACGGTCACGACCTACTGGGTGGACAGCACCTCAGGCCAGAAAACCTGGAGCTGTGGGTGGGAGGTGGGGAGCTTCTCCAAGCTTCCACAATCCACGCACAGGTGAGGAAACCTGGGGCCAAGGAGATGAAGTCACCAATGGGAAGTAACGAATCCCCGTCCATCTGCTCCATGCCCAGGTCTCTACAAGGCACAGTCTGTCCCCTTCCACTGACACAGTTCATCCCAGCTGACCTAGATCTTCAGGATGCAGCTTAGCCAGTTGCCAGGTTCCCTCCAAGGCTCAGCTGGAATCCACAAAGCTTGGCCACCAGGTTACAGAACCCACAACTCTCTGTGCTTCCTCTCATCACACCCAGTAACTCCGTCTTTCTGGGTCTGTTTCTGTCACTCAGCTGCAACCCCTTCAAGTCCAGAGACGGTCTTGTCCCGGTTGACCACCAGCCCCAGTACCTCCCACCAGCAGTGGGAGGTCCCGTGGAGAATATGCTTCCTTTGGGGAGAGTATGGGGGGGGTGTGGGCAGTGCTCCCAGGGAGGCATTTACCTTCATTAGCGCCGTCTCACCATTGTTCTGCTGGACGTTTACAAAAGCTCCTGCTTCCAAAAGAATAGCCACGGTAGTTAAAAAGTTCTGTTAAAAAAAAAAGTGGATTTAATCCCCTCAAACTCTTCATAAGTAAGATATTTCAAGATGTTTTGAAATTTCTAGCCATCAGCAAAAGTACTTAGATTCTATCTCATGCAAGGTGGTGAACACCACAGACTACTGCTTCCGCTCCTCCCTCCCGACCCCCACCCAGGGTCCCAAGAGAGTCGGGGGCTGCATGGAGCGGCCGCTCCCACTGGCACCCTGCACAGCCACACACCTTCTGCCAGCAACTTCAACCTCAACTTTAACCACTGGTTTCAACATAAAGAACCTCTTCATCTCAGTCCTTTAATAAGATAACATGGAACATTTTAATTAGATTATTAACCAAAGGGACACTTTAGATTAGAAAAGATTTTTTAAAAATCCAAGAATTAAATGAATACCTTAATCAGAAGTTATTTTTCAATACAAATCATCTCCAACTAGATAGATGATATTTGGAAATTTCAAAGTACGACTGTCAATAAAAACACTGATTTATGACAAGTCATAGATGAACTGAACTAAGTTATGTGACTGTGTGACTGGCACACTGCCCGGCAGACACAAATTCTGTCTCAGTCCCAAGGCTGTGGAAACACAGCATGCTGAGTGGCCCACCTTCTCGGCGGCGTGGATGAGTGCCGTAGTCCCATTCTTCTGCCGACCATTCACCTTCGCCCCCTTCCTGAGGAGCAGCCTTAGCAGGTCGTCCTGCCCTCCTGCAGCCGCGAGCATCACCAGTGTCATCCCGCTCGAATCCTGCGTTGGTTTTGTTACACACGTGGTACCAAAAGTGTGGGAGAGAAAGATCCCAATGAACATAATAAGATGATTCGTATGAATGCATCTAAAACAAATGTACAAGAACTACATGAAGAAAAAAACCCAAAGAATTTTAAGAGAAGAAATGAAGAGCTGAATGAATGAAGAGTAGATATGCTCCTCAAAAAAAGACTCAAAATGTTAAAATGTCAATTCTGAGCCAAATTAATCTATTTCATGCAATTTTAATGAAAATCCCAATAATGTTTTAAATGTAATCCTAAAGGATTAAACCTAAAAAATCCACAATTAAAGCAATAAAACTAAAAAGAATATATAAAAATCTTTTCTAAGCAAGATTAAATGACCAAAAGCCATAAAGGAAAAGATCAAATGATGCGACTACCTAAAAATAAAAATGTCCCCAAGCAGTAAGACTCAAAAACGTAGAACAGAAAGGGTTAATATGCTTCAAGTATCCTTATAAATCAGTGTGAAAAAACTCAGAGGTCCAGTGGTTAACACTGTGTTTCCACTGCAGAGGGCACAAGTTCAATCCCTGCTCCAGGAACTAAGATCTGGCAAGCCAAAGGCATGGTCAGAAAAACCTCCCAAAACAATAGAAAGAGGGGCAGTTGCTGAAACTAGGCAACTAACAATCAAACACAAATGGTGACAAAACAAGGAGTCACTTTCCCCTCAAAATGCAGAGGTTAAACCATAGACAAAACCAGGCATATCATGGCTAACTAAAGGTCATTATATAGGGCTGGAAGGTCATTATATAGGGCTGGAATTACAAGAACTGTAATCCTATTATATGTTTCTACAATGTTAAGACTCTTATAAAGTGAACATGTATTACATTTAAAATAACTCAGGTTTACTCTTTAACTATAAAAGAGCTATTTTCCATCTTCCTATCATCAGATTTTTAGAAAGGCACTTCACCTCTTGGTCCAGGTTATATTCTTCACTTGAGTTAAGAGCAACCTTCACAGTAATATAATCCCCATTTTTCACAGCATCCCTCAATAAATCTAAAATGAAAGAAAAGATAAATTAGGTTTCAATAACTAGATTCATGAAGAAGAACCCTATAATTCCAAAACCACTCACTGCTTGGAATCACATCTGCTGTAGTAACATTCTCATCTTCTCCATCAAGATGCTTCTGGAAGTCCTCCAGTCTCATCCACTCCAGCTGCAGATCCATGCCCAGACTCAGAACCTGCTGTCTGCCATCTGGGACACAGAAGAGCCTTATTAAGATATACTTTTATGGACTATAAAAAATACAATGCCGTTTTATTTAAGCATATGGTGTCCTAACCCAAATGTTACACTTTATACCTATGTCATCTGAGTCTCTAATTAAATTTCTTACTTTCTTTGGGTAGTAATATGAACTGTCCACTTTTAGATGCCATACATGAAAGAAGCATAAAGACTAATAGGTATCTTATTAACTGTAAAATAGTAACATTAATTTTAGTAGCTGAAAGAAAGTGAGAAATCACAGGGCTTCAGTAAGAGGAAGCCCTGTGATTTGTTCCTTTGGTCATTCTTCTTGGACAGCTGGTCAGCCCTCCCCAACCAGAAGGGCCAGAAACAGAGGGTCAACCTTACACAAGGGATAAATGTACACTGCTTACAATATTCATGTAGGTAGTCACTCTAAGTATAAATAAGTCATTGCCTGTGATCCTGGGTTCAAGCTTCTCCCCCTGCAAGTATCCCCACCAAACCCCACAGTGCTCAGGGCCCTGAGATGCCCCCACTACAAGTGACCCAAGTGCTGGTTTCCACCCTCATGTCCAACCCATGGGCTCATCAACACTAGGGATGAAAATGTTTAGTCCCTACTGGCAGTGGAATAGAGGACATTTGGGAAGAACTCAAAATGGCTGTACTATTTTAAACAGTGAAAGGCACAAATGTTTGATGGTAAGAGTTAAAGGATTTAAACAGATGACTAATAGAACAGGAAAAGATGCTCAACATTGCTAATTATTAGAGAAAAGTAAATCAAAGCTACAGCCAGTACCTCCCATTGGTTAGAATGGCCATCATTAAAAAAATCTACAAACAATATATGCTGGAGAAAGCATGAAGAAAAGGGAACCCTTCTACAAACTGTGGGAATGTAAACTGATATAGCCACTATGGAGAACAATGTGGAGGTTCCTCAAAAATCTAAAAACAACTACTATATGACCTAGTAATCCTACTCCTGGGCAGAAAAGATGAAAACTCTAATCTGAAAAGGTACATGGAGCCCTATATTCATAGCAGCACTATTTACAATAGTCAAGACATGAAAGCAACTTAAATATCCAAAATGTTCACCAATAGATGAATGTATAAAGAAAATGTGGCATGTGTGTACACAATGGAATACTAGTCAGCCATAAAAAGAGTGAAATCATGCCACCTGCAGCAACATGGATGGACCTGGAGATGACCATACTAAGTGAAGTGGGTCAGACACAAAAAGACAAATATATAGAATCTAAAAAAAAAAAAAAGATACAAATGAATTTACTAACAAAACAGAAACAGACTCACAGAAAACAAACTAATGGTTAACAAAGGGGAAAGGGGAGGGGACTAAATTAGCAGTTTGGGATTAAAAGATACAAACTCCTATATATAACATAGATAAACAAAGACCTACTGTATAGCATAAGGAGCTACATTCAGTATCATGTAATAACTTATAATGGAAAACAATCTGAAGAATATGTGTGTATATGTAACTGAATCACTTTGCTGGACACTTTAATAACACTGTGTATCAACTATACTTCGAGAAAGAAGAAAAAGTTAAAAGGATTTACAGACATCCCAACATAGAAACAATCCCATGGATAGAGGAGCCTGGTAGGCTGCAGTCCATGCGGTCGCTAAGAGTTAGACACGACTGAGCGGCTTCACTTTCACTTTTCCCTTTCATGCACTGGAGAAGGAAATGGCAACCCACTCCAGTGTTCTTGCCTGGAGAATCCCAGGGACGGGGAAGCCTGGTAAGCTGCCGTCTTTGGGGCTGCACAGAGTCGGCCACGACTGAAGTGACTTAGCAGCAGCAACACAGAAACAGCACAGCCTTGTCCATGTATTACTGCTAAGTCACATGTACTTGCTGTACCTCACTTCCTGAGTAACAACAGTAGTAGACATTCAGAAAGGAGTGTTAAATTCATGAATCAATACATTCAATCCATACACAAAAATCTGTGAGGAAGCCATGTTACAAATAAGGAAAGCCATGTGTACACTGACACATGTCTGAGTCCTCAGCTGCTTCCCCCCAAAACCTCCCCAGGAAGATTGGGACTCGGGACAGCTGAGGGTTCACAGACACTGAGATAGTGCCTCCAGTTACACAGAGCCACGATACTCAGTGGGATCACAATGAAGCCAACTGGCTTAAAATCCTAAATTCATGCTGTTCATTCCTATTGTACCCAACATCTAGCAGTTTTAACTTTTTCTCTATTTTAAATAAAAAATTAGACATATACTAAGAGAATGTTACGATGTGAATGAGACTCTGTGAATACAGCCCTTACTGACTGCAGAAGCCTGACCCTAACCCTTAGATATTACTTTGCCAACAAAGGTCCATCTAATCAAAGCTATGGTTTTTCCAGTAGTCTTGTATGGATGTGAGAGCTAGACTATAAAGGGAGCTGAGTGTCGAAGAATTGATGCTTTTGAACTGTGGTGCTGCAAGTTTTGAACTTTGGACTGCAAGGAGATCCAACCAGTCCATCCTAAAGGAGATCAGTCCTGGGTGTTCATTGGAAGGTCTTATGCTGAAGCTGAAACTCCAATACTTCGGCCACCTCATGTGAAGAGCTGACTCACTGGAAAAGACCCTGATGCTGGGAGAGATTGAAGGCGGGAAGAGAAGGGGACGACAGAGGATGAGATGGTTGGATGGCACCACTGACTCGATGGACATGAGTCTGAGTAAACTCCGGGAGCTGGTGATGCACAGGGAGGCCTGCTGTGCTGCAGTTCATGGGGTCCCAAGGAGTTGCACACGACTAAGTGAGTGAACTGAACTGAAGCCTTAAAAGTGGCTGGATTCAACCTGCTCCTGCTTTGTTGGGTTTTCACACCTGAGCTGTGAGTGCTGAACTCTGGCCGTCCTCTCCCTTCTGGAGACAGTTGTCTGGTCTGAGGACTGAAATGATGGTGGGGCCCAGAGCCCAACTGCTTTCAGGAAGACTTCTTTGTAAGTTTGATAAACTCTTACATATGAAACCATCTGTGCCTAGTGTTAAATTTGAAAGACTACTTTCAATGACTATTTCACACTTTTTAATAGTAATAATATCCAATTTTTGTATTCGGGTCAGTTTTGATAAACTATTATCTTTCTAGGAATTTCCCATTTCATTCAGTTTTCTAGTTTATTGCAAGAAAATGCTCATAGAATTTTTATCATTTTAATCTGGATGCCACCTATAATGCCCTCTCTTTTTCCCCTGGAAATACTGTTTTTTCATTCTTTTTTTCCCTTAGCACTACCGGAAGCTGGTCTATTCTATTAGTCTTCAAATGAACCAACTTCTGGCATCACCTGTGCTCTACTGTGGGAGAAGGTCCCAGAGGCCCACCACATCCTCCCTGTCCTCGGGCTGTATGTTCCGCCCACTGTTTCCATGGAGGAACAGCATTGAGGGCACATGAACTCAGGGCTCTCCACAAACTATTAAGGTGCTGGGGGTGGTAGAGGTGGTGAGGGATACTTATCCTGTGGCGCCCAGGCCAGGCCAGTCAGAAGCTCCCTGCTCATGAAACTTGCCTCCCCATCCAGGGTGGCTACCTCTTTCCTGGGTCTCCCTGCCCTCTGTGAACTAGGTCAGTCTCAGGTTCCACCCAGAGCTCCCCAGCTGGCTGGACCAATACCTCCTGGACTATTCTTTGTTGCCTGGTGTCTCAACAGCAGTACAGCTATCTGACATCTGGGCAGACCAGTCCCGTCCCAGCCCCCGCAAGCCCCACTGTATGCTGGCTGAAGAAACTAACCCAGTTTCCAACCAGCTGGGCAATCATGTTACCAAGGGTCCCAGAACCTAGGTGTTTTGCAGTAAGAGGGCCACCTAACATCTAGCTTGTTATATATCCCCAGGTATTTGAAAACTTCAACTGTTTTATAAGATTTATAAATTATACAAAGTTTTATCAGACAAATCTCAACCCCTGCCCTAGTTATAAATACATAAATATACTTTTATTCCTCTTCTCCACCACTACGTAGTCTATACACAGACCTCACCTCCTCAGCTAATTCCAGTATTTCAGAACAGCACTCACAATATAACCTCATTTAGTGTTACTGACTGCTAAGTTATAAGGGAACAATACAAATAAGTCTATTTTGACAGTTTTCTGAAAGAAATCTAGTAAGATATACAATCAGACAACTTGACAAGAAGGAGAGATAAGGTAGCATACCAGAAATCTCTGTAATTGTAAATGTGCTGAGCTATTCTAGAGGGAATCAGAAAATAGATTTAGTTTTCAACTCCATCCTGAGACCATAACGGCAGAGAGGAGAGGAAGGTGAGGGGAGAGCTCTGCACACAGCCCTGAGAAAACTGCACACAGTCACACACACTCACCAGGACTCTCCTCTGCTCGGCTCACGCCGTCCAGAACTTCTTGGTCACCTTCTGCAGCTATATATGCCCACGTGTCAGTCTCATCTCTTGTATTTCTTCTTTCTTTAAGTAATGGCTTGTTTTCCTTGGTTTTGTGGTCTTCTGTGACTTTACAGTCTGGTGGTATTTCATCTCTTTTCCGACTATTCTCAGGAAAATCATTTTTTTCTTCTGGAGTTAATTTAAACAAATCAAATGCATTTCTGATTTCCTTAAATGCTACTGGAAAGAAATAAAATTGATAATGAGTCACTAATTTCTTTGTAATCAAAAGAAAAGCTGGGTGTTTTAAAAAAAAAAACAGGTATTTTCTTAATTCTTACTAATATCTGCCTTGGTAAGAAAGCCTGATCAGGTTGACTATCACAGCCATGAAGCCTTTCCACTCATCTTTGTGTTGGCTGCTCCGTATTTAGAAAGGACAGCCAAAGTGAACAGCTCTTCTTCTGGGGGTCTGAACTATTCGCAGTTTTGACAAAGGCCACCACAGCTCATGGGCCTCAGAATAATCCTAGTCATGTCACCAACCACCCTTCTGCTGAGATACCACCTCCACCATGCCTGGAAGTGACCTGGTACAAAAATGACTTCTGGCGGAGACTGGAAGATGGAAGGGTGTCAGCACACTGACTGTGGCCCAGCAACACTGCACCTGATGCCTGCGAAAATCCACTCACTTTAAAGACAAAGCAGAGAGAAGACTGGCAAAGCAGCAGATCTGCAATAATAACCCCCCCCAAAGGGGTAGAACAGAACAGAGTGAACAACTATAAACTTTAGGTATATAGCAGATAGGTGTTTTGTTTTTTAAAATTCTGAATTCTTTTATGTTAAATAGGAACACCTTCTCAATAGTACTTTTAGGTGACATCTCTCATTTATCTTCCTCTGTAAGAACTGCATAGGCTTAAACAGTTTTAAACACCTGTAATAAACTACAGTTTGCTACGAGTAGAGGTATCCTGGTTAATGCCCAACATGGTGTGACCAGAGGAAAAGCAAGCATTATATAAGTGCAGTCCTAACCAACACAAATTGAACCTTTTCTTTTTCAATAAGAAAGCTAGTCCAAATAAAGCTCTCCTTCTATAAAGATGTATCATCTCCAAATCACAGTGAAAGGAACCTGAGCAATTTACTAATTTTGTTTTCTGTGTGCCTTGAAGAAACCTCACCAAGTATATGACACAGCAAAACAACACATGCAGAATGTAATATCACAGTGGCAGCACTGAGGCTGCTTGTCCCAGACATATTTAAACTCTGAATATTCTGATTATTTACACAGAACACCAGTCCAATAGCAAAAATAGAGAATGGCAAGTGGAACATCTCATTCAATGTTCAGAAATTAAAGCATTAACCATTCTTTCCATTTTCCACAGTTAAGTCCTGAATTCTGAATAATTCTGAATATTTTCCAAGGTACTCTATGAAGAGGATGCTGAATCCACTGTAATACAGCATAATGCAACGTAAAGACTCATGTTCACTGATTCTGACACACTCCCAAAATATACCCCCAAGTGCAGTTTTATTTCTGTCCTGGAGGCTGGGTGCCAAGGATCGGACAGAAGCACAGGTACATATAAGCTGCGAGGTTACAGTCAACAGACTGAAAACTGAAAAACTGCAGACACAGTGAGGCCGGCAAAGGCCCAGCTACAGCACCTTTTGGACTCGGGGTGGAAGCAGGTAGGTTTTAGCAGCAGGGATACTGAAAATTGGACTCCAGGTGTGGCCTTCTGAACTTAAGGAACAGACTGAACATTCACAGTAAAAATGTACCTGAAACTGACAGATACTCAGAGGAAGAAAGAGTTCCTAACTACTTCTAATCTTACAATATTTTGAATCTCCAGTCACTCTCTGAGGAGAGGCTTAGAGCTGCAGCATCACTATGAAGAAGCACAGTCTCTACATTACACTCACCTGCACACAAGCCAAAGCTGTTCCTTGCCAGATTCCATCAACCCTGCCACTTCCTGCCAGGTCTGAACTGAGGCTTAGAGCCCAAACTCATTTTAGTATTACCTCAGTTACACAGTTTGTGGGAGAACACTCTCAAGATATCATCCGTCTCTTAGAAATCACTGCTTCCACAAGAACTTGTTTTCCAAGTACTTTTTGGTGTGTGAACTGAAATAACCAGTTTTATTCAAACACTGTAATGATGAATGTTTTATAAAGTACTTGTTCTAGTACTAACATGCACTATAGATTCCTGAGTTATATTTTGATGTGATCAAAATGTATACTGTATTTATACAAATGACACAGAGCTAAACACAATAAATTGATTAAAGAAGTTTATCTCAGCATCTACTATAAGAGATACTTATTTACTTTTCTGTCAAAACTAATTTCCTGTCTCTTTAAAGATAACGTATTCCCACCAGAATCTGAAACACTGTAAACTGACTATATTTCAATTAAAAAATTAAAGTTAAAAAAAAAAATGAAGATAACGTATTTCATCTCATACCCAAAAGGAAAAAGAACAAGGTGATCAGATGGGGGAGGAGTTAGTTATACTAGTAACATACATTATTATGTAATAAATGAAGATTACTGGTAAACAACACTAGCATAATGTTCTCAAGTCCCCAGTGAACAAATTTTCTACTCAATGACCTTGCAGGTTAGAAGAGAGTCTGTCTTCACAGTGAACTAGACTCGGTCTGAAAGACCAACATAAACGACAAATGCCACTATTCACTCACTCTTCAATGCCTTGGGCTCTTTTCGGCCTTTTTCTTCCTTGTCCAATTCTTGCCTTTTCTGGTATTTTTCTTTGGGTTCGCATTTTTTGGTCTCTCTCTCCTGAAAAAGACACATAAGACCCCAAACACAGACAGAGCTGGTACTGATACTGAAAACTGGGAAACAGGTTCCTGGCATTAGGCCCCCCTTCTGTGAACTGTGCACATGACCCCTGATGACTATGTCTTTGCTCACGTCAGCTGCTTCCTTGGTCAAGTTTACCCCCAACCTCGACAATTCATAAAATATCACATTTAAAACCCAACACCAAGTTTCCTTGAAGAATTTTTTATTGCTAATAATAAAATTCCAAAAAATTTCACCTACAGTCCTATTAACCAAACACAACTGTTTTTAATCCTCCATATTGTCCCTCGGATCTAATTTTACAGATAATTTTGTTGTTTAAAATTTATTTTTATTTACATTGCATAGATATTTTTACCTGACTGTGTTCGTATATATGTATGGTTTTCTTCACTGTAACATTTTGTAAATGTTTCCATTTTTGCTATGCTGCCCTCATAATATTTCAATGGATATTTAACAGTCCTCAACTATTATGATACTTTCTTAACTTTTTCCCTCATGACTATACAGGCTAGCATAGCATTAGTTTAATAACAGAGCAGGATCCCATGGGGCCTTCCCAGGGCAGACCCCGCGCGCCCTGCCCCGCATATCCTTTGCTGCAGCTAACCACTCTGGAGAACCTGGGTAACAGTGTCTGGTGCACACTTCCTGTGTACTTTTACAGATGTGAAATCCCCCACCAAAGGGAAGGTGTTAACTGTTGATGACCATGAAGACATGGCCCTCCCAGGCCTAATGGAGTCTAAGGATCAACAGAACCCTGTGACACCACTGCTTAATATCACCGTCAATGAACCAGAGAGTTGTGCACAACTGATCACAGGTCCTGCCACCCACCCCCACCTGGGCCTTTAAAAATGCTATGCTGAAACCCTCTGGAGGGTTGGGGTTTTCAAGCAGGAGCCACACCCATTCTCCTTGCACTGGGGCCTTTCCCATAAAGGCTGCCCTTTTCTTCGTCACAAGCTGGGGTGGGACGACTGGCTTCACTGCTCTCATGTGGGATCTTAGTTTCCAACCCACGCCCCCTGCAGTAGAAGATGGAAGGCTTAGCTACTGGACCACCAGGAGAGTTCACTGTGGCTCAGATGGTAAAGAATCACCTTGCAATGCTTGCAATGCAGGAGACCAGGGTTCACTCACTGGGTCGGGAAGATTCTGTGGAGAAGGAAATGGCAACCCACCCCAGTAATCTTGCCTGGAGAAGTCCATGGACAGTGAGTGGAGGCTGGCAGGCTATAGTCCACAGGTCTCAAAGAGTCAGACACAATTGAGCACACACACACACCAGGGAAGTTCCAGAAGTGGTATATTCTTAAGACAACATGGGGAAAATATAAGTAGGATGTGAAAAGCTAATAGAATAAACTGACAAAGCGCTAAGCTTTAACTTCACAATGCTACATCGTATCTGAATTCCTCTAAAAACTCAGACTTGTTCACAAATTAGCCCCCAATTTTCCAGCTGCAGTAAGTCCAAAAGAAAAGTCTGGATTAGACTAAAAGAAAAGTTGAGGTGCTTTCAAAAGTGGGATCGTCAGCATTTATAGTTGCTTCCCACCAGTTGGACTAGTGGGAAGACTCAGGGCTTTCCTGGTAGCTCAGCTGATAAAGAATCTGCCTGCCTGCAATGCAGGAGACCTGGGTTCGATCCCGGGGTTGGGAAGATCCCCTGGAGGAGGGGATGGCAACCCACTCCATTATTCTTACCTGGAGAATCTCCATGGACAGAGGAGAACAGCAGGCTACATACAACCCATGGGGTCGCAGAGAGTAGGACATGACTGAGCGACTAAGCACAGCACAGATAGACTAGTAGGGGAACAGTCTCTTTGGCATTTTAACTATTTTAAGCTGGTTACTGATAAGTAACAGCAGGCAAGGAAAAAACTCTGAAAGCCAAGTCAGAGCCACCCTTTTGAGAGACATTTGCATCTCTGAGGGAAATCTCCTCTGGCAAGGGCGTCTCTAAGCCTCTAGGAGTTCTCAAGTGGCAGGCGAGGACTCAACAGTCTGTGCGGCAACCTTGCCCTTGTTTACAGTGCTTCTCCTCCCAGGACTGGTTCCCCATCCTCAGCATCCTCTTTTGTCTTTGGCTGAGGGTGATGTTTGAGGTGAAGGGCTTCACCCATTTTGGAGAGTTACTCAGTTTTCCTAGGTCTCTTTCATGTGTATGTGTTAGTAAACTTTAAATTTTCCCCATGTTAATCTGTTTCATGTCAGTTCAATTCTAGAGCAGTCAGGCAACCTAGAATCTAGGAGGGAGAAGAAAATCTCCAGATAAAGTATTAACTCCTTAAGGGTAGAAGAACTTCTCTTACAGGCACACATCAGAGATACTACAGGGTCGGCTTCAGATCCATGAAATAAAGCAAACATTGCAATAAAGTGAGTTATAATTTTTCTGTCTCCCAGTGCATATAAAAGTTATATTTACACTATAGAATTAAATGTGCAACAGCATTATGTCTAAAATAGCCATACCTACCTTAACTAGAAATATTGTATTGCTAAAAAATTCTTCAGCTTATTGCAAAAACAAAATCAAAGTTCACTGATCACAAGAAGTACTGTAAGAAGTACAGTAATAATGAAAAAGTTTAGGAATTCCCGGTGGTCCAGTGGTTGAGACTCCAGGGGCATGGGTTCCATCCCTGGTCAGGAAAGTTCCACACAGGGTGGCCAAAAAGCGAAACAAAAGTTCAAAATAATGCAAGAATTACCAAAATGTGGCAAGGAGACAGGAAGTGAGCAGATGCTACAGGAAGAACGGCTCAGATACAGGTTGCCACAAACCTTCAGTCTAATAAGAAACGCACTATCTTCTAAGTGAAAAGAAACGAGGATGGGCTGTGTTCCACTGTCTCCACTGGTGCTTTACTTAGAGCACCAGCCTGAGTGGAATGTCCCTGTGTTCTGTCAGATGCAAACGTTAGTCCTCAGTGGGATCCAACCACCCTCCACCAGGACCTGTGTACTCACCTCTCCCGGGGAGTCGGTGGGCCTGGACATCTTTGGCGGTGTCAGGGCAGAGGCAGGCACTGGCTTATCCAACTCTGTGCTGCTTTGGCCTTTGTCTTGATTCCTTTGCTTCTTCTGCGTAGTTTTCTTCTCTAAGAAGAGGTTCTTGTTTTCTAGCTTTTTGCTCTCTTTAAGTTCCTCTGTCCTTCTTGGTTTCTTTTTTTTCCTCCTTGCTTTGACCTCGTCCTCATCAGCACTTACACTGCCATCCTGCTGTATATCAGAAGCAGCATCTAGACTGGCTTCTTGCTCAGCTTTATCTTTAGCACCTCTAAACTTCTCCTTTTCCTCTCTGTTGTCAACCTGTAAATCTTCACAGTCCTCTTCCTGAAGGGGGGAATCACTAAGTACACCCGGTTCAGAGTCCACCTGAGATTCAACACATTTCTCTTTTTTTGTTTTTCTAATTTCTTTGGAATCGTCTCTTATTTTAGTCTTTAAATCTCTCATTTCACCCTTTTTAACTTTCTTTAACTCCTTAGTTTCTTTTATATCATCTTTTTTGGGCTTTTTGGATTCCTTTAATTCTTCTTTGGCTTCCAAAATTCTTTTCTTTGTCCTTAAATCAAAACCCAAACTTTCAGAGGAGCTCTCCAGGTCTGGTTTGGGCTTGTCTTTCAGTTTCCCAGTCTTTGCTTTCTTCTTTTTCAGGTCGTCGGGGCTTTTCTCTTCCTTATGCCTTAGTTTTTTCTTTTTCTTCTTTGGAGAAGTATCTTCTTTAGTCTCACTCTGTTGATCACTATCAGAGTTTGCCTCAAATATGTCATTATTTAAGGACAGTCTCTATAAAGTATAAAAAAGATTTAAAAACTCATTAAGAACACAGTAATTTAAAAGGTTTTGAATACTCATACTAATGAAATCTGGTAGGAATTTTTTCCCTACAGTTTCTCAACTTCTTAAAATTATTTATGTAACTGAGGTTGTATAACTTACTTACACTGCTAACTTAAGAAATAGGTCTTGGGAAAAAAAAAAAAGAAATAGGTCTTGGAGGTGACAATAAGCATCAATTTAAGGAAACATAAACACAGAGGGGCAGAAATGATCAGTGCTGCTGTAGGTCCTAACAGTCATATGTATGGTGGGTTATATATAATTCCAACTTCAAAATTTCCAAAACACCAATAAGTAATTTGTAAAGATTTATTTGATGACAAAATAACTCTTTAAGAATTACGTATCTGTCTAGATATAAAAACACTATGCAAAGCATTTTCAGGTCTATTTCCCCACATTCTCTTCTAAATGACTTAGGGAAGGACAAGAGGGAGAAAAAAGATGGGTGTATTTTTAAGTTTTCCCTGTGGTGCTTCAGCAAAGACCACCACCGAGTTTAATAAGGTAGTGGAAATGTGGTGGCACTGGCAAAACTTTTTGACTCTTCCTATACCACTTTATAAAAAAACAACTAGTGAAACAGGAGGGAGGGGGTAAAGCACAGTCTTTAAATGAATGATGTGGCCCAAGGTCAGGACATAAATGGTTAGAACTAACCAGGTCTGACAAATCTAGACAGTGTATTAAAAAGCAGACACATCACTTTGCTGACAAAGTTCTGTATACTCAAAGCTATGGTTTTTTCAGCAGTCATGTACAAATGTGAGTTGGACCATAAAGAACGCTGAGTGCTCAAGAATTGATACTTTTGAATTTTGGTGCCGGAGAAGACTCTTGAGAGTCCCTTGGACAGCAAGGAGATCAAATCAGTCAATCCTAAAGGAAATCAACACTGAATATCCACTGGAAGGACTGATGCTGAAACTGCAATACTTTGGCCCTCTGATGCAAAGAGCTGACTAACTGGAAAAGACAGAGATACTGGGAAAGACAGGGCAAGAGAAGGGAGCAGCAGAGGATGAGATAGTTGGATGGCATCACTGCTCAATGACATGAGTTTGAACAAACTCTGGGAGATAGTGAAGGACAGGGAAGCCTGGTGTGCTATAGTTCATGGGGCCAAAAGAGTTGGACATGAGTTAGTGAGTGAACAATGAATAACCAGGTCCAAGATGACGAAGAAGACTTCCACTAGACCTTGAGCCTCAGTGTATGCTCACTGTAACACATCAGCAGGCTAAGTGACACACCCAGAGGCACCTTGACAGTTCCAAGAAACTGAAAGTGTTAATGGCTCCGTCATGTCTGACTCTTTCTGACCCCATGGACTGTAGTCAGCCAGGCTCCTCTGTCCATGGAATTTTCCAGGCAAGAATACTGGAACAGGTAGCCATTTCCTTCTCCAGGGGATCTTCCTTGCCTAGGGATTGAACCTGGGCCTCTCAGAGTTCAACCTGGGAAGTGTTGACAGTTCCAAGGTCGAGCATAAAAGGTCAGAAAGTGGCCCAGTTTCTGGAAATCCCCACCGCTTCCCCAAAACAGCTGGAATACTCCTCCTACTTCTCAGCCTATGAAATTACCCACCTATAAAAACTGACAAGCCCATAGCTTGGGGCTGCTCTTGCCTTCTGAGATGGCCCTCACCCTGTGGACTGTTTCTAAGTGAATTCACTTCTTAATCTTTTCTAAGTGAATTCACTTCTTACCTATCACTTTGTTGCTCACTGAATTCTTTCTGTGACATCAAGTATTTGAGCTTCATTAAATCCCAGGTATGATCAGGGATTTAAAAGACAGTGGGGAAAAAAAAAAAAAGACAGTGGGTTCAAGTCCCAGCCTGAGGTACACAGTTTAACCTGGACAGCAAAACAACCCCCACCCCCCAGCCCATGCCACAGACAACATCTACAACAAAATTAAGTGTCCAAGTGTTTCAATGAACCCTAGAATATAAGCTGGTAGGAACAAACACTGCAGGCAGTAAAGAATCCACCTGCAATGTAGGAGACCTGGGTTCGATCCCTGGGTTGGGAAGATCCCCTGGAGAAGGGAAAGGGTACCCACTCCAGTATTCTAGCCTGGAGAATTCCATGAACTGTATAGTCCATGACTGAGTGACTTTCGTTTTACTTTTCACTTTAGGAACAAACTAGTAATAGCAGTAAGACCCCTGTGGTACAAATATCCACACAGGAGCAAGCAAAGGTAGCAAGGAGAATGGAAGAAACCACTCAAAAGTCTAGCGGGTCACTGTGAGGGGAGCTGCTGAAAGGGCAGGAGCTCTGGGCACTGGACCGTGAAGGGACAGCCCAGGCTGAGCGTTCTCTAGAGTAACCAGCCGGTGCTCCCTGCCAGGTGTACCGGAAAAGGCCCCACCATGAGAAACTGCTGAGATCAGATTCCAAACAAAGAAGGTCAGAGAAAATAGAAAATAGGAGATTCAGATATAAGTGATGGTGGTGGCAGGCTACAGCCTCTAGGGTTGCAGAAGAGTTGAACGTGACTTAGTGACTAATTAACAACAATGATGGTGGCGGCAAGGTGAAACCAGAGCCCAAAAAAACCCCTCATAAAGTCTGAGGTTATACTGTCTAATTCTTCATAAAATAAATAAAGCTTGCTCAGCAGTCATAAAGCTAAAAAATAGTATCTTGTTCTCCTCCTTTGCCTCCTAAAATTTCAAAAAAGTAATTCATATAAATATAAGCAATATAAATTGATTGCTCTAGAGCAGAGTATTTTACTGAATTGTTATAAGAGAAAGCAGACAAAGGAACAGAGTAATTAACCTAAAAAGAACAACAGCATGCAAGAGAGATACACCTACTGTTAAAAACAAACAACAGGCCCCAAATGCAGTTGCTGATCCTAAGCCCATCAAGAGAAATACCTAACCACACTCAGAATTATAAACCAGCAGTCTAGAGTTTTCTGATCAGCAATGGTGAAGTACCTGCCCTAATAGGACCGCCAGCCTCTCCGTGAGGCAAGGTTATCTAGTTTGAAATAGTCTCACAGTCTTTATTTTCTTGGACTCCAAAAATCACTGCAGATGGTGACTGAAGTCATGAAATTAAAAGACACTTGCTCCTTGGAAGAAAAGCTGTGACAAACCTAGACAGCATATGAAAAAACAGAGACATTACTTTGCCGACAAAGGTCCATCTAGTCAAAGCTATGGTTTTTCCAGTAGTCGTGTATGGATGTGAGAGTTGGACCATAAAGAAAGCTGAGTGCCAAAGAATTGATGCATTTGAACTGTGGTGCTGGAGAAGACTCTTGAGAGTCCCTTGGACTGCAGTCAATCCTAAAGGAAATCAAACCTCAATATTCACTGGAAGGACTGATGCTGAAACTAAAGCTTCAATACTTCAGCCACCTGGTGTCAAGAACTGACTCACTGGAAAAGACCCTGATGCTGGGAAAGACTGAAGGCAGAAGAAGGGAACGACAGAGGATGAGATGGTTGGATGGCATCACTGACTCAATGGACACTAGTTTCAGCAAGCTCCAGGAGTTGGTGATGGACAGGGAAGCCTGGTGTGCTGCAGTCCATGGGGTTTCAAAGAGTTAGACAGGACTGAGCGACTGAACTGAATCGTCTCCATCTGCCAATTACAACCTTACCTTTCATGAGCTCCTGGGAGCATCCTTCTGTTTGTTAGATAGATGCCGTCTGATTCATGAACTGGATAAAGCCAATTAGAGCTTCAGATTTACTCAGCTGAATTTTGGTTTATACAAAACAATGAAAATTAAAAAATTTGAGGCATCAGGTGAAAAGACCAAGTCATTCATAAGAGAAAGAAACTCAGATTTGTCATTACAGAGCCGTATCTCAAACTGGGTGTGGAGGGAAAGGGAAGGATGTGAGAAAAGAGGTACTAATTAACAACATCAATAACCTATTTATCAAATTGATAACCACAGAAAAGAAAAAAAAGAATTAATCCAAGTAATTTTTGAACAATCAACACCTGAACTGAATACACTGCAGGAACAAAAATAACTGTAAATAACTTTGGAATTTCACAGTAGAATGGGCATAGTAAATCTGAAACTAATTTCTAATTATTGCAGGGCTCAGTAAATGACTACATATAATATTGATGAACACCAGAGTTCTCATGGAAGAAAAGGGAGACAGAACCACAGACCCTGAAAATGACAGGAAGACAGAGTGGTGATGGACTGAAATTAGACATCAATATGAACTTGACTTAAAATTAACATGTATTTTTCCCTTTATCTCTGTCTAAAGGGCCTAGAAATAATGATATCCCAGTAGCAATAACTTCATCTTGGTTTCTAAATTCTGTTCTGCCCTAAAAAGAATCAAGATTCCCTGAATAAAGGTTGGTGCCAGAGTTGGAGCAGGAGGGTACATGGGGACACTTTGTCCAGGGAGCAAAGACGCGCTCAGACAGACAGGGAAACCACATGAGGACACAGGAGCTCACCTAGAGGGTGTCCCACAAACCAAGGGTGGGCCTGTTTTAACAACAGCAATCAAATAAAAAGACTCCAAGAGTGTGTACTGGTACTTAAAAAATTTATGGGGGAGGGAGGAGCTGCTCTTTATAGGATACAAACTAAAAAGCTCACAAAAACAGAACTGGAAAAGTTATTATTTGCAACCACCACAGTAACAACTATTTAAAGCAAAATTCTTCAAAATTATCTTAAAATCATGGGTGAGAGGTTGTTGAAGAAGTGATTCTCAGTCTGAAATATTACTTATTATTAGGTTACTTACTATTTTACAGGGGAAAAGGTACCTTTAAAAGGAGAGAAAAAAATGATAGACCTCACTTTATCACATAATTATAATTTAACACCAGCAACGAGATAACTGACGCAGGACCCATCTATCGATATCATGTACCTTACCTATAGAATATATGTGCCCAAATGTCTATGCTTCATCTACAAATCATCTGATT